TTAATCCCGATAATTTATAAAATAAATTAAATAAAACATTAATATTATATAACAGCTATGAATTTACAGTAGGCATCTAAGCTAAAATAGGCAGTGTTATCAATCCTTGTCTTTTATAACGTTATTACTTATTTTGTATTAGKGACTATAATTTATCAGGATTTGGAATAGATTTCCATGTTATTTAATTTTTGAATGTACCTCTACTTTCTTATAAATAGTGGTCTCTATAATATTATCAGCTTAGAACTGAATATAGTAATTATAAATTCATTTCAATTTCCCCCATGCTGTTTAGAAATAATATTATGTGTAACATAATATTATAACCTATGGAATTAAATAATGTAAATTTAATTACTACGCTTTGAAATATTATTATACATAACACCTATTTGGGTATCAGTAAATGTGTTTCCTGCACAGCGGTATATACTGACCTTTAATCGTTGCAAATGTATATTGTTAAATGAATGTATTTAGGTACCTCTAGTTATATAAAGTAAAAACAAAYAGAGCACAATTGAATGTGTATTAAATCCAATATATTAATTATTAAAATCATTAATAAATAATGAATAAATATTTTAAAATTGATGTAAATAATTATTATGTAATTAATCCTTAAATAAAAACAACTTAATATTTATTTTGTTGTAAGCTAATAACYTAATCGTTGATGCTGTACCAAGTATAAAAAAATTACTATTCCGGTAATTCAGAAAAAAATTACCTTTTGTAAATGTATTTATTAATTAAGAAAACCTTACAGTAGCTAAATTATATTAAAAGAACACTTCAATAATGATAAAAAAACATCTGTCCTTCCAAATAATTGTATAGGTAAGTAGTTAGATGCATTTGCTAGGCCATTTTAAAAATTTTCATACACATTTTTAGATTTAAAACGCGCATTTATTTATCATTTTCAATATAAAATGCATTTTTTTTTTTTGTAAAATAAAATAAAATCAATTATGTAAAAATATTTGTTTTGGGGCTCTAATTAGTTATAATGAAATAAACAGAAAAAATCAAAAATACATTTAATTAAAACATGTAACCACAATTTTATAAGCACGGTTTGTTTCAGTAAATGAAATTATGCACGAAATGTTTTTATTACTAATAAACGTTACGACGACGATATAACAATTCTTAAGATTTTATGATTACTGCAAAGTGGAAAGTACTTAGATAAATGCACTGTTTTAAAATTACAAAAAAAAAAATAGATCAAAGAAATAAGGAAAACAGTTTGAGATCAACGCTAGTGTATAATAGATCAAAAGGAAAAATAATAAGAATTAAATTAGCCAAACAACTAAGATATTAAAAAAAATTTATGGAATAAATTTGTGTGGTGTAGAGGTTTTGATATAGACGAAACATAATATCCAAGACAACTAATTTGGTTAATAAAGTCATTATTATTCCTGGAAAATAGATTACTAAAACCTAGGTTTTGTTTGATTATGTCCATTGTGTCTAAAACTTTTTAAGTTCAACAAAATTATAACCAGGTTGGTTAATTTAACAGACAATAACAGTAATACAATATTAGTATATATCTCAAAATGTATACCGTATTTTTACTATAACAAATAGTTTGAAATATTAGACTTTTACAAATCGACATTTTTGAGTAAAATATATCATTTTTTTCAAAAAGTAAAAACATCAAATTTTTGAAAAATTATGATTAAGTTAAAACAGTGAAGTATAAAAGTTTTTCGATTGTTCGAAATTTATGTTAAAAAAATTAATGTATTTTCAAAAGCGTTAAGTACTTACACTTTTGATTGTAATACCTAATAGTGGTCAATATTAGAARTATCACTCGGAGTCACTTACTTTCCTTCGTAGGTTTGTTCATTTTTTTACAGTAAGTATATTATGTTAATATCGGTATAGAAATTGCGATACGGATACAATTTTAGTTTATTTCACAATATTAATGTTATATATTTTAAAATTGAGTAAATCAGAAATGTATAGTACCTAATTAATTAATTAATTTTGTCATTCGTAATTAGTATAGATGAACTATGTATAGCTGACAATAGTATAATGGCGTAAGTAGGTATATGCCGTATATGATGTGATTTATTTCCGATTAAAACGAAAATTATTTAAATGTGTATTTTTACTGTAATATATGTGTTATATRTATAACACACAGTGTTAGTAGTAGTATATTGTACTACATATTCATTACACTTATGAATTCATTAAACAAGTTTACGTCACGTTGTTTAAAAAGAAAAATTAACGATGGTAGGATTGTAAAAAATATAAATATATACATAATTATTGATAAAGTAATTATTTTTTCGATGTAACTTAAAATAACAAATATTGTAAAAAAAACCAACAAAAACAGTAATGATTACTATTTGTGATTTCGAGTTCTTATATAGAATATAGATATTTACATATAATTATTTATCGTAAATTATACCCGAATACCAACTATCAAGGCAAATTCGTTATTATTATAATATTATAATATACAATATTTGTGAATAAATACGAATTATCCCCTATAGCCATATCAGTAAAATATATTGCCTACCTATTATGTGGCTTATGAATTTTATGAAGGGGTTTYCTCTAGTACCTAATCCGCTCGCTAATCGGTTTACTTTAACAGATGAACTGTAGTTTAAAATAATAATGGCCCATAAACGTCTCGAAATTAATTAATTATAATTTATAAATAATAAACAACGAAAGTTTAAAACACGTAGGTATCCAATGTAAAAATTATTATTGTATGAACATTTTAAATATTATCTTATTTTATAGGTATATAATTCAGAATTAATTGATAGGCCRAGAAAAATGTCGAGAAAAAAATATTTTATTTATTATACAGCGTGTTCATGTACGTTTGAATAATAAATACATTTGAAAATATTTATCATTTTATGTAAAAAAAAAAAAAAATTAACCTGAACATTAAAAAAAACATCATACCATAATCTGTCATATTAAATCAGTGACAAATAATAATAAAACAAACAAAATATTTCTAGTTTCTACTAGTTGTTTTGGGTAGGTGTTTCATAATTTTATATAGATATATTGATACGATTTAAGTTGTTTGCATCAATTTAAATTTTAGGAAAATAACATGTACGTCTATCTTAACATATGTGACTTAAAATAAAATCAATATTAATAAGCAGTGGGACTCTTACAAATATTATAACCAGTTTTTCTTTCGAAAAATTAACATATAAAATCTATGAAAATTCTAAAAATGTTCATATTTCATATTATATTTAATTTTTTGAAAAAACCTTAACCTTTATTGAAATATGATAGATATGATAACATTTTTAAAATGCACAAAAATTGTCATACTCAAAACACATGGGTATTGCGGTACTACGCCAAAATTATATTATTTATAACGCCTTAGGGATTTCGAAAAAAAATATATAAATTATAACATTCGTACAAGGTTCCTCTCTTTGATAATCCATATTTATTCTTATTTCGGTCGATATAATATTGTTAATATTTATTATAATACGTTGAACACCAGCTAAATATAGGTTTAGGCACCAGTCTCCTTTGACTTTGAAAGTATCGTATGGTTGCGGTAAATAAAGTTGCAAAGTAATAACTATAATGTCTGATCATTAAATTTAAATGACGATAACAAAACATAAATTGACTTGCTATTTTAATAAAATTGATAAACATTCATAAAGATACGCTTATAATACATTTCGTCATTTATTTTGYATTAATATTATGTTTTGTAACGATTTTTGGTAGAAATAATRTTCGGAAGAGGTACCATTTTTTTTTTAATGATTCTTCAAAAAACCTTATTGCTCGTATATTAAGTTAGAATAATGAAAAAATTATTATTATATAATTAATATACGTTACGTCTGGAATTTATGAAAATGTTTGCCTGGTCTTGTTACTTAATTAAACGTACACGTAATTAATTCAAACGAGTTGCCTATATTTAATTAGACCAATATTGCCTTACCTGCGACGGACGAGCTGTGCGTTCTCTTGACGTTAGCGCCGTCCAACGTATCCTGTAACGGACGTTTCCTGTTCTCGACCGCGTGCTGTTGCTGCAGCTGAAGATGATGATGATGTAGATGGTGATGATTATGAAGATCGTTGGCCGGTGATGCCGGGCACGCGTCCATCATTTTCACGTCCCCGGCAGCGGCGGTTGTCGTAAAGCAACGACCGCCGATCGACGGCGTTAACGCCAGCGACAACGGCGACGACAACGATAACGGCGATGACGACAACGACGACGAGGACGACGACGATAACGAYGACGGCGATGACGATGATAACGGCGACGACGACGACGACGACGGCGGCGGTGACGGCGGCGACGACAACGACGACGGTAACAGCGGCGAACACATACCGGCGCCGGCCGCGGCCACCGAATCGAACTGCATCGCGTACAACATTCGCTGGCAAAAGTAATGGTCAGGCGCCGACGCCGTGGCCGCGTACAGCTCCGCGCCATCGGCGCTGCCGAACATACCGCCGCCGCCGGCACTCGTCTGCGATGTACCGGTCAAAAATTGCATCGCGCCCGTTCGTTTGTTTTATTCGTGCCAAGAGAACAATCGAAAACGAAAAGTTATTTGAAAACAAAAAATAAACGGAAATTTCTAACAATAATATTATAATTCAGATTATTATTAACGTTTGAAACTCTGAATTGCGCGCGAGTCGTGATCGTTTAGTAACTGAAACGACTAACACAGTGCTATCATTGACGGCTGCTGCTGCGACGACGGTGTCGTTCTGTTGAGCGCGGTCAGGGTTAACACGTGTGCGTTACGCGAGTGTCCGCGTGCCCCGACGAATAACTCGCGACCGTCCGACGATATAATAACAATTTATAATTTATATATTATCATAGTAATAATAACACGACGATGATTATTATTGCACTGCACGTCTTCACGTTCTTCTCTCCAATTGCCGTTTGTCGTCGTCGTTGTTGTTRTTGTTGTTGTAAAGCCGGTTGCGCGTTGATGATGACGACGACTGCAACACGACGGACGATCACGCGGGTGCATGCGAGTTTAACGATTAGCGCGCGCGACCGGTGTGCCACGGGTCCGCGCTTAGTGGCTGCCGATCGGCTGGCCGGCCCGCCCGCCCGTGCCCTTGCCACCAAAAGACCTTGCCCGCGCCGACCCACTCACCGCCCGCGCACCCTTCCACCCGCGTGGCCACGCCGTTAAGTACGCGAGCCACAGCTGCCGCGACCGCTCGTCCGTCGCCCGGTCGCGGGTAGGTCGTCCGACCGGTCACGCTGTCGTCGACGTCGAGCGATCGCGGACTGTCATGATAGCCGTGGGAGGGGGTTGCCGACCGTCGTCGTCACGATGAAGGGCACCCACCACGCAAGGCAAGGGTACGTGGCACCCCGCTTTTAACCGATATTTCGGACGGAAATCGATTTGATGCAGTTTTGTCGATTTTTAAAAGTAATTATCCAATATCAACCACTTTTTTGAATTAAAAAAAATTATTGTAATATAATATTGCAGCTCTATACGCTCTGCTATCAATGCTATTAGACGCCGAGCWGTGTGTTAATTGTTTAAATATTTCAAACTAATCAGTGGAATGATTGTTATGTCATTATTTACATTATAAAATTTATATTATTATTACATTATACCGTTAAACGAGACATTCATGAGACGAAATACTACCCCCGTAACGCTTTAGACATTGTCTCTAGCTCCGCACTTTTCAATTTGTGGACTACCCATGGACTACCCTCAATCTATAATTTATATAAATATTATGAAATTATATGGAACACAAAATATAAATAGGTACCCCAACAAAATATTTTAATAATCGATTTTGCAAAAGTCATGAACCTATATAGTTTTAATGCAGAACAAATATTGTTTATTCCATAAAACCAGATAGACATACATCTTAAAAACGTGCAAAATTAAATTGTTGATGTATTAAGAACTAAAGAACACGAATTTTTTTAGTTTAAGCACCTCATTAATCACTACCTATTTATTTCAAATTATAATTTGATCAATCAGTGGCGTAGAAAGACTTGTTAGCGCCCCTGGCCAACCTAGGAAAATGCGCCTTTTAARYGATTAAAAAATTGACGAAAATACGAAATGATATATTTTTTTATTTTTTATATATTATATAATTAGGCAATACAACATTATATAATTATAAGTTATTATTACAATGTAATTTTGAACTTTAAAAATTTTCTTTTC